CGCCTTTTATTTTTTTTTATTGTTTTTCACAAAGCCCCCGTTCCGGGCGGGGGGCACATATATGCCCCCCCGGCCGTCAAAGGGTTAATAAACATCATACATAAGATTTATCTATATTTCTTATTATTATCTGTCGTCTCAAATCATACCTAGCATTTTCTTTTCTATACTGGACTACTATCTCTCCTTTCTATCCTCTCCTTTCTCTTCTTCTGCTTTTAAACTATTTTTCTTTTCTTTCTTTATCTGTTTGTGTATTCATTCTACCACTGTCTTTTTTTATCCATTTATCTATCATTGGTCTCCATTGATGACTGATTCTTGTTTTATTGTTGTACAATTTGTTGGCAATAGAATATACACTTTCTAACCTTATCGTTTGAAAATGTTTGACTCATTGTCAAAAATTACACTCTCTTCGAATTTGATTTCTTTTTTACATGCAACAGCATGTTTAACTATCTCTGACAATTCAAGTTTTTCTTTGGCTACGTAATTTTGATGCTGTTTAACTCTCCTGTCGAAACACTCACTTTCACTTACATACACTGAGCTACAAATTCGCAGTAAATACCATAAATAGCATTTTTGCATCCTATACAATGTTTTGATTCCTTTTTAAGTTGATTGCATGCTACCATTCTAGTTTTATTCAAGATATCTCCTATATTCTTTGAGTATTTTGTAAATGTTCAAATATTTTCTTTCTTCAAATTTTGTTTAAGCTTTTCTGTCATGCTTTTCAAGTGTGGTATAACTACAGTGGATGCATATATCCCGTTATCCTCGTTCTTACTGTTGTGGTTTGTCCTAATATGTCTAACTTTATTCTTTATAGTTTTTGTGATAGAGTTAGGATATAACTACTATTTAGCAATAATTGACAAAGAGCTGTGATGTCTGATTTGTTAGTTTCATTTTTATTTATCATCATTATTTTATTTGTTATAATTTTAGATTGTGAATCTATAAAATATTTCGTTTTTTAACTACTGAGGACGATATGTTAACATATCGAAACGTTTAGTTAATTGTATTACTTCATTAATATAATAAAATACGATGAGAAAAACTTTTTTAACTTAATTATCAAATTCGTAAACAATTGAAGCATTAATTTATGAATTCCACGTTCAAATTTTCTATTGTATAATTTTTTCCTAATTTATTTATATTTTTACGAAATATTTCTAATTCAAATTCATTTATTTCATATTCTTCTTTTTGTTGTTGTTTATAATAAATTGATTTAAATATTCCAGCTAATAATTCACCACATAAAATTTCTTTACACCATTCATATTGATCAAATTTATTAAAAATTGTAACATCAATTTTTTGACGATTGAAAAATATATTATTAAGTACAGGTAATAAATGAAATTTTTCCAAATTATTATTCCATTGTGATGTCGAAAAAATAAATTTACCTAATAATTTTAATTGTTCTTCAAATGATTCATTTTGTTCTTCTAAATTAATTATTCTTTTTTTAAATTTCATATAATAATCAATTAAAAACTGTTGTTGTCGTGATAAATCATTTTTGTTTTTTATTAAAATAAAAATATTTTTCTAATATTTGAAAAATAAATTTATTTAATAAATCTTCATTTTTATTATTTTTTGATTCTAATACAACGTTTTGTAATAATTTAATAATTAATCGTGATAATATTTCAATTTCATTTTTGTTCTAATAAAATTTGTATACATGCAATTCTTAATTCTATATTATCTTCTTTATTTACTAAAAATTTTCCGATTTTTCTAAAATAATTTTTGATATTATTTTCATTGTTTTTTCTTGATTAACTAATGGTGTTGTAATACAAATTAAATTCTCTTTCATTATTTGTTGATCATCATTGTTTAAAATTTTCTCTTTCAAATTCTTTCCATAAATTTTCTATTATTGTATCAGGTATTTCTTCGCGGCTATTTCTAATCAAAGCCAAAGCTATAATTCGTACAATACTTGAAATACTGATGATCTTTGAATTTTGAATAATTACATTGTAAAATAAATTAACCCTTTGGCTCCCAGCGACACATAAATGCGTCTAGCTACAATTATTGTATGATCATAATAGCTAGAATAAATTTGAAAAAAGATTTGAATAGCCGAAAGACTTTCCGATCTCGTTTGTATACACCACCTGAGATCGGAAAGTCTTTCGGCTATTCAAATCTTTTTTTCAAATTTATTCTAGCTATTATGATCATACAATAATTGTAGCTAGACGCATTTA